TTACTTCACAATTTAGATGTCTTCAAGTCACTGGGCCTGATGAAATATATCCTGGAACTCTGAAGGAGCTCACTGAACAGGGTGTGAGCCATTAGTGGTTTTCTTCAAAAACTCATGGAAGACAGATTCCAGAGTCCTGTAATAAAGCAAATATGGTGCCCAGCTATAAAAAGGGCAAATTCCTGGAAGATAAGGTGATAAGTAATAATCAGCATAGTTTATCAAGAAAAAAATGTCAAACTAATCTAATACTTTCTATGACAGAGTATTAATTCTTGTGGATGGGGGAGTTGTAAATATGATATATGTTGACTTTAGTAAGGCTTTTGAGGATGTCTAGCACAGGCCTTCACAATTCGGAAAGCGGCGAGGGCCGAATTACTCCAAAGAAAACAGCTGCAGGCCGCAAGTAGGGATGCTCTCCCAAAAAATACCGAACATGCGGACAAAAAAAAATGTCTCCACTTGGCCCCCTGGCATTTGTCTCTCCTGCACCTTGCCCCTTGGTGCCTTCCCCTTTCTCCTGACCTGCCTTCCCTCAGCACAAGCCCCTTCCCCCTTCCCTAACTGGCTTCTGCCTTCCAATTTACGTGGCTGCCGGAGCCTTTTTAAATTGATCGGTCGCTGGCTGTGACGTCACGACGCCACGTCACGCCAGCGTCCTGGCATCTTCCGGCGTCCTGCCTTCTGGCTTGCACCCCACTTCCTCATGCCAGTGCTGCATGCAGGCAGCCCAGCAGCGAGAATCGCCACACTTCCCCCTTCCCGGCCGGTGGATCGGATGGGGCCGCGCTGCCTGTAGTCGGCATGGGCCTCACAGTGAGCCTCTGCGGGCCGCATGCAGCCCTCGGGCCATATGTTGTGCAGGCCTGGTCTAGCATAACCCTCTCGTAAGCAAAGTAAAGAAATACAAATCTAGATTGAGCTACTATAAAGTGGATTCGTATAATTCTCTCTGGGAACAGTTTTCCAACCAGTTGAGTGGTTCACTGTCAAGCTCAAAGGGTGAATCAAGTTGGATACTACAAGGATTGGTCCTGGGTCCATTTCTATTTAATATCTTCATGACTGATTTAGATAATGGCAAAGAGAATACACCTATAAAAGACTTCTCTTGATACCAACTGGGGAGGGATTGCAAGTGCTTTGGAGGAAAGGATTAAAATTGAGAAAAATCTGGATAAAGTGTAGAAATTGTCTTTAGTAAATAGCATGAAACTGAATAAGGAGAAATGTAAAGTAGTCCATTTATGGAGGAACAATCAGTTGCACACACAGAAAATGGAAAATGACAGACAAGGAAGGACATTAGGAAAATCTTCCTAACTGTCCAGGTGGTTAGTTGCTGAATGTCTGGTATTAGAGATTTTTAAGAACAGAAATGAGCACTACATGTGATAGAAAACATTAAACCCATCAGGAGATATTATAGTTGTATACAAACAACTAGTTAGACTCTATGGGCTCGTCTAGACTGCATTCCTCTCTCAAGAGAGGAAATTTTTAGAGCACCCCCCATCAAAAATTATTGCCCACCTCTGTCATAGGGCTCATCTAGAATGCAAATGAAGCAGATCAAAAAATCAAATGAAGTGCAGAATTACAAATCTCATGCTTTATTTGCATAATTGCATGTGAGCGCTTTTTCGAAAAAGGTTTTTTTTAAAAAAAACACCCCACAGTCTAAATGGGGTTCTTTCAAAAAAAACCCCACCCTTTTTTGAAAGAAATCATACTCTTTAAAAAATGAGGTGTACGGGTTCTTTTGAAAAAGGGGTTGTTTTTAACAAAAGAACCCCGTCTAGACTGTGGGGTGTTTTTCGAAAAAGCGCTCAGTCACGATTATGCAAATGAAGTGTGAGATTTGAAAATCCACACTGCATTTGAATTTTCAATCTGGGTCATTTGCATTCTAGACGAGCCCTATGGCAGAGGTGGGCAATAATTTTTGATGGGGAATGGTCTAAAAATTTGGTAAGTGGTCAAGTGCCACACTCTTCTATTATATTAATGGAGGTGCGGGCTGAGGGAAGGAAGTTGGATACAGGAGGAGGTACATGATCTAGGATGGCCTATAAGTGCAAGAGAGGATTCTGATCTGGGGAGGGGTGCAGGAGGGAGTGCTTGGTCTGGAAGGGACTTGTTATCAGGGTCAGAGGTGCA